CCAACATGCCAGACACGTTGCCCAGAAAGCGTGTTCCTCTGTTCACTGTTGTGTTCCAATCCGCATTTATCTGGAAACACGGAATTTGATTATGGAGAAATTGTAGATACGTCGGCGAGGATCTCAAGCAACTGGTGTCAAGTTAACCAAGAAGTGTTGACACGATGATGCGTAGTAGGGAAAAAAAACCACCTGGATTATTTATATGTGAAGGAGAAAATAAACCACAATACCAAATACAGTATACCGTAATATTAACCCAAAACATCATGATATTAGATGTATCATCATCAGAAAATCCATTAAAGAAATACGAGAGGAGAACGTGTTGTAATTTACGGTGAGTGACAGGGAGGTGACAGGAAGGGAAAGGTGACCCAGAAGAACCACAAAAGTGTGAGGTGTCTCATGCCTCCCTATGTATCTAAGACCCTGTTCATCCTTTTCTAGTGTCTTGTTTATGTATGTACTACACCAGAAAGCAACTATACAGCGGTTTACTAGCGTGTCAGATAGTAAAGTAAGGAGGATCACGTGAGGATTAGGATCTTTAACTTATTTCACTAAATGCTTAAACACCCAAATGCAAACCTAACCTACCTTAACCTAACGCAACGCAAACCTAATTTAACCTTTCCTAACCCCATCCTCCAGGTAAAATAAGGATGTTTAATTATCACATGAAATAAGCCGGAGTGTCTGATCTTCACGTAATCTATTTCGGGAACAGGTAAGGTGGCTGTGACGATCAACTTCTCGTCATTTATTAACGTAACTTTATATATGATCTTCAAAACATCACCAAGAAATCAACAACACACTCTAGGCTGCCAGCGGCCCTAAGTGTCAGGTGAGACCATTAATCATAGTACACGAAGTATGTAACACTAGTAGCAGCCACGGTAGCAGAGGCAGTAGCGAGTGTGGCCTCAGAGCACCAGGACAAGGAGCATAAACATTACCACGCTCAGCTTACATCAGCAACCAAAGCAACATGTTAACATAACGAGAAGAACAACAGACGCACATGCAGCTTTAATGGTGTGTGTTTGTAGTATGTGTAGCACTAACAGGAAGGGTCACAGACAATATTATACCATTACGGTTATCCTACGCCCACACTACCACCCACCTACACACACACTACGTAAAACTCTTCAGATGACAACGGTTGACACTTTCTACTTATATAAACGGGTGAAACAATATATTACATATCATTTACTACAACATTTCCTGTCAATCAATCAGGTAGAGGGAAGAGATGTAACTAGGAATGATAATAATATTCTCTTTCTAACTTGACTTTTATTCACACGTGTATCTTATATTTACCACGACAGTGAGGAGGCTGTGGGTGTACGTAGGTGTACAGGTGTGTGTGTGTGTGTGTGTGAGAGAGAGGAAGATAGGGGTTGTGGGTGTACAGGTATGTGTGGAAGACAGCGTGGAAGTTGTGGTTGTACAGGTGTGTGTGTGTGTGTATGAGGTAGTTAAGGGGTTGTGGGTACACAGTTGTGTGGGAGGCAGTGAGGAGACTGTGGGTGTACATGTGTGGGAGACAATCACCAGGTCTTAGAGGACAGCACACATACCTTGACACACCTGCCGGCCTGCCACCATCAAAACAGCCGTGAATAACCGCCGTCAGAGTGCGAGGAGGATAAAAGGTCAAGTTAAACGGCGCGAAGGAAAAAAAGTAAGTTGTAAAGAGGAAAATATTAGTTAAACACACACACACACACACACACACACACACACACACACACAAACCAAAACGAGGGGTTGAAAAATCCGTCACGACCTGGTGGGCAGAACTCCTCCACCAACACGTCACAGCCGCCCCTAAAACATTCACTAGAGTCCTTCTGGCGCCGCTAATTACTCCGCCGCTGAAGAATTTAAAGTGAGTGGTGAAAGGAACTGGCAGATTTGAGAAAGAAAATCAGGAAAAAAAAACACACACACACACACACACACACACACACACACACACACACACACACACACACACACACACACACACACACACACACACACACACACACACACACACACACACACACACACACACACACACACACACACACACACACACACACACACACACACACACACACACACACACACACACACACACACACACACACACACACACACACACACACACACACACACACACACACACACACACACACACACACACACACACACACACACACACACACACACACACACACACACACACACACACACACACACACACACACACACACACACACACACACACACACACACACACACACACACACACACACACACACACACACACACACACACCAGTATTTCTCAAAGTAATTAACAGAATATTTTCTTTATTTTTTTCCTTCGTTGATAAACCCTGACCTAAAGCATTGAAAAAAAAATACGCCGGTCCAATCTTAAAGTTTCTCTGTCAAGTTTAAACACAATGTTTCCTAACAAAGTTCCTACGTTCCTCAAAAGTTCTCACGTACGTTTACAAAAATCCGAGACGAGGGAAGGGGAGGGGGGATGAAAGACGAAGAAGAAAGATAAAAAGATGAAATTATAAAAGAACAATGTAGCCAGCGTTGAGCCGCCACCATCAAGGATGTCCACTTTCTCGGGCTCATCTTGTTCATGTTTTTCAGGAGCCAGAGTGAGGGTGTTTGCTTGTGTGTTCCTTGTGCATGACTCGGCACCAACCTCCCTTAACCCACTGGCCTGCCACATGGCTCACTCACCCTCCATCTTCACCCACCCACCAACCAGCCTCCTTTACCCATCCATCCACTGTTACACCCACACACACACCAGCCTCCTTTAGCCATCCACCCACCTGTTACATTCACTCATCCACCCACCTGGCTCCTTTACCCACCCACCCACCTGGCTCCTTTACCCATCCACCCATCCGGCTCCTTTACCCATCCACCCACCTGGCTCCTTTACCCATCCACCCACCTGGCTCCTTTACCCATCTACCCGCCTGGCTCCTTTACCCATTCACCCACCTGCCATCCATCTGCCTCTAGCCCATTGACAAGTAGTAAGGTTTATTATGTAAGGTATCGCCTCTCTTTAATCTTCTAACAGGTAGTACAGGTAGACAGATTCACTATTTACTTCCTCTAATTGACTCTCTGACAGCCAGGTTATAATGTCTATCTACAACTATCTATTAGACAGGTACTTCCCCTTTATTCATTAGCTACCTGATAGTCATTCACTCACCTGTTACCTTCGTCTTATCCGTTAACTGACAGCCAGAATCTACCCTACCAGCCAACCCACCTAACACCACTACACCATCCACCTACCTAAATCAGTACCCCACTACCCATCCACCCACCTAACACCACTACACCATCCACCTACCTAAACCAGTACCCCACTACCCATCCACCTACCTAACACCACTACACCATCCATCTACCTAAACCAGTACCCCACCAACCATCCACCCACCTCAACCAGTACCTCATCACCCACCTAAATACTACCTTACCAACCACCCATCCATCTACCTAACCGCTACCATCATCCTCCATCCACTTATCACCTCCCTCTCACCATCTACCCCCCCCTCAGGTCTACCCACCACCTTCCCTTAACCCAATCATTTGCTCACCTGTAGACGTCACCTGAAGCACTTGGGACTACTATTCCTTTAGTCATTTTATGGTGAACTTAGATGATCCTAAACTAAACAAACGTTCATTTCTTCTTCTTCTTCTTCTTCTTTATTCTCTTTCGTTTTTATATCTGTTATTCACAGTTGCGTTATTCTATTTTAATTGATTTTGATTTGTTACAGTTTTTATTCCTATCTGTTAATCCTTTTTTCTGGTGTTTCTCATTTTACATCCGTTACCCATAGTTGCTTTCCACTTGTTTCATATTTTTCTTCCTACTATACTTGTTATCCAATCTTTCTCTATTCTATTAGCTTCTTTTATTTTTATACCTATTATCCACACCAATCCTTTCTCTACTATTTTTGGTGTGTACAAAAGTCCAGGTGTGCACTTCTACAGCCTCACACACAGGGAGTAATCAAGAGTTGCAGGTGAAAAGAATCCTAGTACTAATAAAAGGCCTTAATCTAATCTAACCTAACCTAACCTAACCTAACCTAACTTGATCCAACTTTACCTAAGATACACTAAATTAACCTAACCTAACCTTGGAGCCTTAAATACATGAAGCTCATTAGGCTTCGGACCCATTAGACTTCTAGCCTATTAAGACTGGGGCCTATTAGGTTTAAGACCTATTACGCTTGGACTGGGGCATAGTAGAAGTAGGATATACTAAAGAGGTAAGCTTGGTCCCAACCCATTAATGACTGAAGCCCATTAGCACCGAGATCCCATTTGACCAGTCACCATAGACTGTACCTTTATTCGCGCGTCCATTCGTCAGTCCGTTCCCAGGTGTCGCCAATCTGACTCTCACACGCACACACGCACACACGCACGCACACACACACACACACACAGTAAAAGTGTCACCGTCATCTCTGTCTACTTAGGAGCTTGAGAGACAACCCATTCCTTCACCCCTTTTATCTTCACCATTCTTTTAATTGCTTATTGTGTCCTCTCTTTTGTTCGCTATGCACGGCGCTCTTCACTCCTTGCGTCACTCCCTGGTGAGGTGTGCTCTTTGTCGTAATTTAGTGTCGTGGTGTCGTCTAGTCGTGTCGTTTGCTGGTGTGGTAACGTTGGCCTCTGGTGTCGCATGTCGTTCATTTGGTGTCGTGTTGTTGTTTTTCTGGTGTCGAGGTGTTGTTCACTTGTACCGTAGTCTAGTGTCGTCCCTCGGCGTCACTTGGTGTCCTCGAAGGGCTGGGACTGTATCACATTAGGCCCTACAGCCCCCTGGTCGTATCAGTCTGTTGACACGACAATACCGGCCCGGCCCCTTATACTGACACCACCACAGATTAGTTCATACCTTACAACACTAATATATAGATTACTATCTTCTCTGACAACTATCATGCTACTCCCCGCTCTGACAACTATCATGCTACTCCCCGCTCTGACAACTATCATGCTACTCCCCGCTCTGACAACTATCATGCTACTCCCCGCTCTGACAACTATCATGCTACTCCCCGCTCTGACAACTATCATGCTACTCCCCGTTCTGACAACTATCATGCTACTCCCCGCTCTGACAACTATCATGCTACTCCCCGTTCTGACAACTATCATGCTACTCCCCGCTCTGCCTCAGTTATCATATCACTTTCTTGTCTGCCAACCTCAGCGTCAGATATTAATTGGATTCTTATTTTTCACATTACTTTCATCTGATGTTTTCTACCAGTTTTTTCTCTGATAACTTTGTCTTGTTATTTTCACTGACAACTTTCTCTTATCAATGACTCTTTATTTCTAAGCCTTTTTTAATGGCGGATGTTTCTGTTACTTTCTTCGTAATTTTTTAACTTTCTCTTACAGCAACTATATTACACTGACAACTTTCTTCCATTACTTCCTTTCGACAACTTAAAATTACTCTCTGACAACTTTCTTATACTACTTTCCTTTTACCTTCCTATGACAACTTTCTCACACTACTTTCCCCTGACACCTTTCTTAAATAACTTCATCCCTGACAACTTTTTCTTCGATTACCTTTATCATTTCTATCACATCATCCTCTTAACTGACAACCATCTGCACACCCCTTTCTCCTGTGACACCTTCAGACATCCCCAGTGTCAGCAACAAATCATGTGACACTGACGACCACTGAGTTTATGACACCCTCCACAGCGCCTTCTCTGCCACCCTCCACAACGCCTTCTCTGCCACCCTCCTCGGCGACTTCTCTGCCACTCTCCTCAGCGCCTTCTCTGCCACCCTCCTCACCCTCCTCTTCTCTGCCACCCTCCTCGGACTTCTCTGACCTCCTCGGCGACTTCTCTGCCACCCTCCTCAACGACTTCTCTGCCACCTCCTGGCGACTTCTCTACCCCTGCTCATGGTGACTTCTCTCTGGCCCAGTGAAGAGATGTAACATTCATCTTGCAGTTGGTCCTTGAAGAGGCATCATTAGCTCCCATTCGTCTCGCTACATCCTCCCCAACACACGGATTACTCTCTCTCTCTCTCTCTCTCTCTCTCTCTGACCTATAAATCAATCACCTTTATACACTCACACCTCCAACTAAAGTGTCTGGCGATAAGCTAGACAAGAGACCCATCCAGTGCCACTACCCACTCACCCCGATCACGCTGTCTCATATGTACAGGATGGTGTTAACTCCCCTAATCCAACATGTGTCTCCCCCCCCCCTCCTTCCATCTCAGTCTCTTCCCCACATAAACAAGACATAGTGTGTGATGATAAGTCAGAGATATTTACTTTTAATACATATTTTAATCGTTATTCCCTGAATAGCAGATGCGAGTAAACTCGTAGCGTTAAGTTATACCCGAAATTTATTCTGTTAAGCTTTTTATGTTTTTTTCCTGAAATGTGCGTGTTTTATGGAATCATTCCCTCAAATTAACTAACTCTGATTAAGATTTTTTTTTAAGTATAACTTTTTCAATAAGCCAAGCCTTAAAATTACTTCTTCCACTAAGAGATTCCATCAAATTATTCTCGTCTGACCTACTGTAAATTATCGGATGAGAGCTTCCATATAACCTCTTCCCCACCCCTCGTCCTCTAGCCCACCAAAACTTTTCACTTCTCCCAATCCCCTATTTTCATCCTCCACCACCTTACCCTTTATTACCTCAACACATTCCTTTCCTCTCCCTCCTCAACACACCCCACTACTGGCAGCCGCTCCCTTTGGTTAATCACCTACAGGAGGGGTAATAAACAGTTGTCCTACGGGGTAAAAAAAAATGATAATAATAATGTCCACTCTACCGCCCCGACAAATTCCCCCGCTGCAGGAGAGTCAGTTTATCACGTCAGTTCCGTCTTGGTGTTCTCGCTGTCAGCCTTCGTCAGGAGCTTAATGAGTCCCTCGAGCGTCTCATACTCTGTCTTCTGGCCGGACTCTTAACTTGACTACTTAGTAGCTATATAAGTCAAGGACAGGTGTTAATGGACAGTTTACAAGTAGCAGAGAGAGAGAGAGAGAGAGAGAGAGAGAGAACAAAACAATAAGGGCTTTTAGAGAACTTGAGTTCGTCTCACTAAATGGATGGTTGGACTACCCATTATATTTTTGTGCTTCTGTTGTTGGTGTTACTGTTGACAATGTTACTGTTACTCTTGCTGGTGTTACTGTTGGTTTCTGTTTCTACTTCTGTTGTCACTGTTAGCTTCTGTTGTCCCTCCTGCTTTGACTGATATTCATCCAGTCCCCGACTTTACCATACCAATATTATTATCACACTATTCACTGTATCTTTTTTAACTCACTGACATTCTCGCTTTGATTGTATTGCGTCACGTACAAGTAACTCTGAGGAACACTTACCCAGGAAACACTACCGCAACTACACCTTCTGTTGATTACTTATTTGTTGTCCTGTGTTAACTTAGTGGCACGTGCTGCTGCTGATATCGACCTACCACGACCCACCACCACCACTACACACGACCTACCACCATCGTCGAATGAATCCACCACTATCTACACCGATCAACCACAATTGTCTCCCATGACCAACCTCCATCATCATCATCATCCACGACTTACAATCATCACCCACGACCCATTATCACCACCCACTCCCCACCATGACTTTCACATAACCTCTACCACCAACCATCAACATCCTAGATCCGTGTTAAAAACTGACCCACGGGTGCAGGAGGCGACCCCTACAGTGACACCACTCGAAACTTCAGGCCACCTCTCTCTCTCTCTCTCTCTCTCCTCTTATTCCTTCTCCTCCGTTTATTCTTCTTGTTCCCTCTCCTCTTTTTCTATATCGTATTCCTCTTCTTGTTCCCTCTCTTTCTTTTTCTCTTCTTCTTTTACTTTCTCGTATTCTTCCTCTCCTCTCCTCTTCCCTCTCCATACAGAAGTAATGGTCTCCGTGCAAGAGAGGTGTTCCCCTGACTGGTGATACTCGCGATGAGTTTTGATAAAAGAGAATAAATGTTGCAACTTTTTATTTGAATCTAATGTGTAGTAATTCTCACAAATGCCCCAAAATCAAAACCAGGGAACATACGGCACTGTTCACGTGTTCGACTTGATATTAAGATTTCAACAATGATTTTATTGTTATTTTATCAGTTTTAATCTTTGGTGGTTAATTTTATCAATGTCAAGATGTGAAAATCCTCGAAGCACTCTGACATGGTGTTAATATATCACAATGCTCATGAATGTCAGATGTTCCTTCGCTGTGGCAACAATGCAAGTCTCCAGTTATCGCCAGCAAACACCTCTTTTGGCAGGAAAGTAAATCACTCTAAGTCTGTCCATGCTCAATAAATCCAGACAAACTAGCTATCAAACTGTTCCTAATTATACGCTCTTTACTGTGTATGAACACTATATTAATCTCACTCACCCAAAATTAAAAAAATAAAGAAAAAAGTTATAATTCCTTGTTGGTACTTCTTCGTGATTATATTCTTCAATGGTAAATTTTATGACCATTACACATCAGAATTAAGTATGTTTTATAAAAGATGATAACCACAGGCTTCACGCATTTTATTTTCGGTACACCGCAGCGTCATGTGGCTTATTTAGTTATAAGATTTAATTAAAGGATTTCGTCTAACTTATCGAAGACTCTAACTTGCGCGTGTAACTCGTACCTCTAAGAAAACCAATGCAACCTGTAACTTGTTGATTCTCTTTGGCATATTTCATTATTAACTTGCAAAAGAATTACAGACAAAACGTACCAACCTGCCTCTATAGGAAATGTGTTTGAGTTTGTTGTGTCTCTGTGGTAAATCTGGCAACGAAACAGCTAAACTCTCCCTCGCACAACACTGAACATGCCGTCAAAATTTATCTTTTGTTTCTCTCAACATCGCCGAAGTTGGATGTAACTAACTGTTTCTCTTGGGGCGAATAAGTTAAAAATGACAAAGGCCTCATCAACACCGACACCAATTGCCTATAACTCATCTGTGAACGTATTACGTCTATATGTAACGTGGCCATCAGGTGAGGTGGTAAATGTCTTCAGGCTCCCCTTCCCCATGACCCAAACATTCTGTCAAAAGATCCTACTCGGTCCTTCAAGGGGCTTTTTCCTCCATAATTATATACATGTAAAGGGAACATAATTACGCTTGTGATGTGTTGCAAGACGAGATCGTGCAGCGAACGTAAAGGCTAGGAACAACCTAATGGTTATTTAACAGCGCGCATCAGCTCGTTCAGACCCCCAGGCCCCCCCTTAAATACTAACCAATTCACTAATTGATCGCACACCACCACCTCCCTACGTACGATTATATTATTCTAAATACAGTTAATTAAAGCAATTGCTCGTGCTCTCTGAGGCAAGCTGATGATGAGGTCTTCGAGGGGATTCGCCTAACACGACCTTCAGACTGAAAGGAACCAGCGACTTCCATTGGCCAAGAGGAGATCAACAGTGAGAAAAGCGAGACAGCTGATTGGCTCATTTTCTCATACAATATTCCTCTTCCTATGTTTGTTGCCTAAGAATTGCAGCGTGAGTGAGGGAGTGGATGGCTGAAGCTGTGAGAGATTAATAGCTCCGGGTAACCATTTCCTCCTAATGCGAGGTATTGGAGGTGATTTACAACATTTTCGTGCTCTTTACCGACGACTTAAGAGCGTCATTAATACTCCCTCAGGATATGAAAGTCGGGAGGTTCTTCACGCGTCGGGAAGACTAGCCAACTGCCAGCTCATGACGGAGGCCGGGGATGAGGGAGGGAGGGAGGGAGGGAGGGAGGGGTGCTGACAGAGAAAGGAAGAAGGGAGATAAAGTGGGGGAGGGAAGTGAAGGGGGAGAGAGAAGTGAAGGGTGGAGGAGAAGGAGGAGGTAAAGGAAGTAGGGAGGAATGGGGAAAGGAAAGAAAGAGGAAAAATAAAAGAAAGAGGAGAGAAAAGATAAAAATGAGTGAGAGGAAGAGGTGAAGAAGAATGAGAGTAAAAGAAAAAGGGAGAAAAGTGAGAGGGGGGAAGGAGAGGAGAGAGTGGATACAGGGGGAGGGGGACGTGAGATGACTGGTGGCGGATGAAACATAAAATGACTGGGAGATTGTGACGTGAGACAGCAAAGTAGGGACTTACACTTTGGGGGGGACGAAGACAAGGTGGGTAGAAGGCCGCCCAAACACACCAATAAAGGAGACAGAACGGAAGAAAATGTCGAGTCTTAATCTGGGGTAAAATACAGGAGAAGAACCGAGGACTTTTATGTATTTACTTTTCTTTTTGTTAAGAGGGGAAGGTAAGAAAAAAAAAAGTTGCCTGGAAGAGTCTTAAGGAGGGAAAGATAGGAAGGGATTGTGAGCAAGGAGGATTTAACAAAAGGCAGCTGAGACATAAACTGATGAACCGGAAGGTGACAAGAAGAAACGGGGTGAAGGAGAGTTGTGTCTAGGTTGGGAGGGGAGAGAGGGAGAGAGAAGGAGGGAGGGAGGGAAGAGGGGGGGGAGAGAGAAGGAAAGGGGGAGAGAGAGAAGGAGAGAGGAGATAGGGAAGGAGAAGGGAGGGAGGAAGGGAGGGAGGGAGGAAACAGCTGACGGGGTGGAGGGAAGGGCATGAGTCAGAGAGGTCTTAACGAGGAGGGACGTCTAACTAGCTGCCAGTTCGCTTGAGAGGAGAGGAGGGAGCACAAGAAACAAGAATATGTTTGTGTCAGCTGCAACAGAGGACGAGGAAGAATGACAGTAAAACCCCAACAAAAGGTGAGTGTGTACATGACAGTTTGTGATAATGAGGCACTTAAAAGAGTACGAAGAAAAAGCCGCACTGAGACCCTTGTCCAGCAGCAGAGCGACAAAAGGAGGTGCTTGCCTGAGTACCGCCGTACCCTACTTCAGCAGCGGGTGAGGCCAGGGAAATGTTTT